CTTAACTTGGGTCTTGCCAATTTAGCTCCAGTGGTGCAAATGCTTTGTTTTCACGGTGCATTTGCTTGGGTTTTAATTTTGCAACAGTTTGGTTCCGAGACTGAATTCTCCATGTCATCAGACGCTCTGGTCTGGGGGGGCTCTGTTGGCCCTTAGACACTGGGTCATCATCCTAAACGGATGAGGTTCATCATCCTAAACGGATGAGGTCAGTCGGCCCTGTATCTATGCGGCTGCATTCTCCCTTGGGCGTGTGAGCGCTGCGACCTATAGATTTCGTTTCGAGTTCCATCGGAGTGCTTGCTTGGGTATTAATTTTGCAACAGTGCATTCTTTGGTTCCGGGTTTGAATTCTCCATGTCGTCAGACGCTTTGGCCTGGGGGGGTTCTTTTGGCCCTTAGACGCTGGGTTGCATCGTTCTTTGAGAATGAGGTAAGACAACCTTGGATTTATGCGGCTGCGTTCTCCCTTGGGCGTGTGAGCGCTGCGACCAATAGATTTCGTCCCGAGTTCCATCGGTGTGCTTGCTTGGGTTTTCATTTTGCAACATTCTCAATTTTTGGTGCAATTTCTTCCGGTGGGTACTAACTTTGCATTTGTATTGTATCTGAATTGTATCTGAATCTGTAGTGCATTCTGTATTCTAGCTAGATTGTAGGTACCTGTATTGTATTTCCGTTGTATTGTACTGTATAACGTTCTATCCCTCATTAACAATTCCTAGCCCTCTCCTTTCCTAGCGAGATCTGCTCCAGACCTTCCCGTGGTTCTTGCTGAGCATCAACTATCGAGGACAGAAAATTCAAATTCAAAACCAGCAAAGGTTCACAAAAATCATGAAAATCGCTCGTTGGTGGCCAACGTGGAGCAAAAGAGACTTTTGTAACTCAACTAACTTTGTTAACTCTATATTCTTAAGGAAAAAAAAATATATTCCATTTAATTTATCATTTATAAGCACAAATAGTCATTTGCCACGCCGATGCTCATTTTTAGATTAAATGCTCACAAAACGCGTAAATGTTCAATTTGTGTCCGGGGAGATACAATGTTTGCAAGTAGATACACAGTACATCGGGTAGATGCTCAGGTATATAAGAGTAATAATGAAGTAGGTACTTCGTACTTCGAATATGAGTATCTACTCAGTTTTATTCATACCGTCCAATGTCTCGCTTCAATGTTTAATTATGATGTTGATTATGAGCACAACGCTGATCAACTTCCGTATCCGAATTACCCTTGAAATAAATCATCGCGATTTGCACCTTAGGTAGTTCGTCGCACATTTGATTGACTTCGTGGACTTATGTCAGCTTGTCGTCTTCTCGGCATTGTAATGAACTTCATAAAACGATACAGAATTATTTTCACAGTCAATCAAATCTGTAAATTTTGTCTTGAGCATTTTAAAATATTGAAAACTTCAAATTAAATCCTCGAACAACGGTAAAGTTTGAAGTTTTGTCGAAACCAACAAAGTGAACATAGGTAAATAGAATGGCAGATCAAAATTAATAAGACACTTTTGCAATGTGTAACTAAATTCACTTTAACTAAGACTTTTCTTAAAATAAACGACGTTTTTTTTTACGAAAAAACAAAGAACGATTTGAAATGCAATAATACTTTTTTCACAATCGCACGGAAGAAATAGTTTTGTATGACATGTCAGTTAGGCGACAGGTCCGTCAGGAACGCCAACTATTCAAATTCATTCGAAGTGGCGATTCCCATGCAAAATTTTTAAAATTTTTTTATCTTTTAGCCGTCTTATTTTTTATAAATTTTCCTACATATAAACCTTGTCCTGACAATAAGGTACACGTAAAAAAAGAATCGTCCAATTCGGTGCAGTCGTTCTGAAGTTATGAGCGTACATACATTTCGGCGATTCATTTTTATTAATATAGATATGAAATATTTAACATGAAAATTAGAAAAACTGCAAATCAAAAATTGAAGAAACGAAAAATTGAAAAATTGGAGAAGTGAAAATTTGAAAACCGAAAAATTGCGATTTGAAACATTGAAAAATCCCAAAAATTTAATTTCCAATTTTAAAATTTTTCAACTATTTCATTTTAAACTTTTTTCATTATAGATATTCAATTTTGCAAAATCTAAAAATTAAAACATCCAAAATTTGGAAAATTAAAAACTGAAAAATTTAAAAATGAAAAGTCGAAGACTCGGATGTTGTAAAATTGAAGAAACAAAAAAAATTACAAATCAAAAATCGAAGAAAGAAAACTGAAAAAAATTGAAATTGAAAAAAAATCGGAGCAATGAAAAATTCGAAAATTGTAAAACTAAAAAAAAATGAAGAATTGAAAAATTGAAAAATCGGAAAATTGAAAAATTCAATAAATGAAGTATAGTTGAAAAATGGAAAAAAAATGAAATCGTAGAATTGTTAGTTATTATTACTATTATTACATATTTGAAACGAAAACTAGAAAATTGCAAACCAAAAATTGAAAAACCGAGAAACTGAAAAATCTAAAACTGAAAAAAACCAAAAATTAAAAATTAAAAAATCAAAGAATTGAAAACCGGAAAATTGCAAATTGAAAAACTGAAAAATCCAAAAATTCAAATTTTTCACATTGAATAAAAGAAAAAGAGCATAGAAAACCTATAAATTGAAAAAACAAAGAAAATAAAAACCGGAAACCATAAACTGTAAATAAAAAAATTAGACATGAAAAACTGAACAATTAAAAATTGAAAACTGGTGAAATTGCAAATCGAAAAATTGAAATATCCAAAATTTGGAAAATCTAAAAATTGAAAAAGTTGAAAACGAAAACTCGAAGAGTTGAATATCATAAAATTCAAGGGACAAAAAAAATCAAAAATTGAAGAATCGAATAAATATAAAATCTTTTCAAATGAAATAATTGAAAAACGGAAAGATTCTGAAATCGTAAAATTGAAAAAGTGAAAAATTTTTAAAGTTAGCATTATTATTATTATATTATTATTATTACAGTTTTAAATTGAAAACTGGAAAAATGGCAAATCATAAACTGATAAAATGAAAATTTGAAAAATCGAGAAATTGGAAACTCCTAAAGTTGAAAAACGAAAAATTAAAAAATTAAAAAAACTACAAGTTGAAATATCGAAAAATTAAAAACCGAAAAATCCCAAATTGCAAAATTGAAAAATTGAATAATTTTACATTGAAAAACCGAAAAACTGACAAAATGACAAAACATTGCAATGCGAAAATTTGAATGAAAAACTGAAAAATCGTGAAATTGCGAATCGAAAAATTGCTGAATCGAGAAACTAAAAAATCCTAAATTTTGGAAGACTCGCATATCGTAAAACTGAAAAACAAAAGTAGAAGAAAAGAAAAATTGGAAAAATTAGAATTGAAAAAAAATCGGAACATTCAATAATCGAAAAATTGTAAAATTTGTAATTATTATTAATTTCACATTGATAAAAGAAAAAGAACACTGAAAGAAAAGAAAACCCAAAAAATTGAAAAAATAAAAACCCGAAGCCATAAATTGGAAATCGAAAATTTGAAGATATGAAAAATTGAAAAATTAAAAATTGAAAACTCGGGAAATTGCAAATTAAAAAATTAAAACATCCAAAAGTTGGAAAATCGAAAAACTGAAAAATTTAAAAATGAAAACTAGTTGCGTATCATAAAATTGAAGAAACAAAAAAAATAAAAGAAAAGTTGCAAATCGAAAAACTGAAGAAACAAGAAATTAAAAAAATTAAAAAATTATAAAATAGAAACGTTAAAAACATCAAAAAATTGTAAAAATAAAGAAAATAAAAAACCGAAACGAAAAAATTGAAATCGAAAATTTGATTTAAATAAATGAAAAATTATTATTATTTTTTAAATTATTATTAGTTATAAAATTTATAAATTGAAACATAAAAAAGTTGGAAAATCGAAAAACTGAACAATCTAAAAATCCCAACTCGAGGAGCTGCAGATCGTAAAATTAAAAAAACAAAAAAATAAAAAATTGTAAAAATACAGAATAAAAAGCCGAAACGAAAAATTGCAAACCGAAAATTTGAAGAAATGAAAAATTGAAGAATCGAAAAATTGAAAAATCGAATAAATGGAAGTTTTAAAATCGAATCATTGGAAAATTGAAAAATTCATAAATCGTAAAATTAAAAAAGTGATAAATTTAGAAGTTATTATTGTTATATATTTAAAATGAAAATGAAAAATTGCAATTAAAAATTGAAAAAAAGAAAAACTGAAAAATCAAGAAACTGAAAAATCTAAAATTGAAAAATTGTAAACCAGAAAATTGCAAATCCAAAAATTGACAAATCAAAAAAAATTGAGGATTTCACGCCGAAAAAAATTCAAAATCAGAACACTGAAAAACCGAAAAATTAATAAAATATGGAAAATAAAACGCCGAAGTGAAAAATTGCAAAACGAATCATTGAAGAAATAATAAGTTGAAGAATAGAAAAACTGGAAAATTAAAAATGGAAAAATGGAAAAATCGAATAAATGAAAAAGTTTTAAAATCTAAGAACAATGGAAAAATTTAAAGATCTTAAAATTGAAAAAGTGGAAAATTTTGAAAGTTATTATTATTACAAATTTAAAATTAAAACTAGCAAAATTTCAAATCAATAATAATAATTGAAGCAACGAAAAATCTAAAAACTGAAAAACTGAAAAATTCAAACTTAAAACTCGGAAAACTGAAGTCAAGTCAAAAAAGCTGCGAGTGTTATTTATGCTGGTACTTTTTACTTTATAGAGGTTATCAAAAAAAAATCCCAATTTTTTTTCAAAGAGGCTCGGTATTTATCGAGCTTTTTCAGGGACAAGCCTAGTTCTGTCGAACCAACCTTTGACACTTACCCTCGTTAAACCGATCGAACCCGATTTTTTCACGAAAACAACCAGATTTCCCACTCTATAATCACCACCCCAATTGCGGTGTTTACAAAAATTACCCCACTCAACAAAACCCGATAAATAACTTACAATCGTGAGACGTCCTATGCTGTCCATGGCCTTCAACATCGGCAACGACGACTGTCTGAAAATCTCCAGCCTCCTCCTGAACGCAGTCACGCTGTCGTCCAGCCGCCCCCGACCCAGCTGCAGCTTGGAGCAGTCCAAGAGGATGATCGTGGGTTTTTGCTTGAACTGAAACGAACAATCAACGAATGTACGATTCGCCTAGAAGGAAACATGTATTTCCGGCGAGTCCTTCATACGACGCTTAATATTTCATTAAGACACGACGAAATTACACGTTTATTCGAGAAGTACGACTTCTGGAAATTACAACCGTGGGTGGTAATTATGACGTCAGACATTAGAATTTGACGACGTTTAATTGTAGACGATCTTGTAAAATTTTAATCATAATTGTGAGAGTTGAAGAGGAATATTAATTACGTTGAGCTATCGATTTGGTGAGGTGTTGTGAAACAAAACGCACGTCGTGATTTATTTCAGACGATCGTGGGCGTTATCTAATTACGTAATAAAATGTTGTTAGTTTAAGTTTATCGATTTCGGTGATTTGGGAGATATTTTTGAAACGAATCGTAGTTTATTTTTTATTAAGCTTAAATTCTGCTGTCAACGATAGGTCCGTTGTGTAAATAAATGCGTAGAAACTTGTTTTTATAAGAATCAATATGACAAACACGGCGAATGTTGCTTTTGAAAACATATTTACTTTCGTTTAAATAATATTTTGAACGAAACAAACATTTTGTGGACCTGCGACTCAATAATACCAACTGGAATGGTATATTGTGCCGCCACAGTACTCCCCTTATAGCTGTGAAAATAAACAAAATTTACCTTTGCCTCGAACTCCGTGGCTTGCGTCATATCCCTCGGGAACCCGTCTAAAATGATCCCGGGCGTCGTGATATTCGACGCCATATGGGACTCCACGAACTTCATGACTATGTCCAGAGGTACCATTTCCCCGCCGCTGATGCTGTTCCTTATTTTGGACGTTTCGCTGTTGTGTCTAGGGTCGGGGGGTTCAGCGGCTGCCCTTAACAGCTTCCCCAGACTAATATGGGTCCAGCCTGTGTCCTTCGAGGCCTGGGAACACAGGGCCGCTTTGTTGCTCCCGGGGCCCCCGATGACCCACAGCACCGGCGGCCACCCCGTCTTCACGGGCGACTGGTAGTTGTTGGGGTTGCTGGCGTTCACGGAGATCACCTGCGTCCTGGGCCGCTCCGGCTCTGACTCGGGATCTACCACCATTCGCTCGGGCTGGTGGGTCTGGAGGGGGGCAGGTACGGGGGGCAAAGTTTGCTGTAAAAGTCGTTTTTAATTTTAAATACAAGTAAAGTTTTGTTTTGGAGGCGGCATTGACGGGGCAAGTGACCGCCGCCCCCGCTGCCCCCATATCGTCACTATCGATTGCATTTTACTTGCGATGAGCAATTTATGAAGTCTATTAGAATCGATCGGTGGAAGCGTTGAAGCTTGTTTGTATGAACTCACCATTGTTGGAAGTTCGTTGGTGACGTCCGATGGTACGTTGGCTATTTTGCCGTTGGTGAATACTGGAGGGTTGTCTTGCATGCCAAGGATTTTGAATACGGCCGTTCGGAAGTCTTTGTAGACGTCCGAAGGGTGACGTTCACCGTTTATCTGGAATTTAATTATTCAGGGATTAGGTTGTGGCGAAAAGAATCGATGATGGGGTGAATTATTTATTAATTACCGAAACGTTGGGGTTAGTTAAAGGTGGGTGACGTGTTTATGGGCGCGCGTCCGCTGGGTCAGTGGGAGGGCGGTTTGGGATAAAATCGAGAAAATTATTAAGATAATAAAACATTATAGGGGTAAATGCTGAAAAGTGTTTGCTGGTTTCTTCAAGGATGTGTTTCTGTTTGAGAAATCAACCAAAAATAGCTGCCTCAAATAGAAAATTGAGTAGATAAACAGATTATATACGCAATAAAACTGAATATTTCGATATCCGAATTTTATTTTTAGACTTTCTTTACTAGGTTGTTTCGACGGAACTTACTTCGTGCTTGAAAAAAGTTTTTTCGCAGCAATTTTTCAATTTTTCAGTTTTTCAATTTTTCGGTTTTAGTTTCTAGAATTTTTAATTTTTTATTTTTCAGTTTTCGATTTGCATTTTTTCGTTTCGGTTTTTTTTTACTTTATTTTTACAATCTTCCAGTTTTTCAATGTTTACGGTTTATAATTTTTTGTTTTTTCAATTTATCGTTTTGCAATTTTTTAAAGTTTTAATTTTTTTTTTTTTTTCAATTTTACAATATGCAATTCTTCGAGTTTTCCTTTTAAAATTTTTCAGTTTTTCGATTTTCTAACATTTGGATGTTTCACTTTTTGTTTTTCACTTTTTCATTGCTTTAATGTTTCGATTTGCAATTTTTCGTTTCAGTTTTTTACATTCTTAATTTTTTTAACTTTTCGATTTTTCAATATTCTTTTTCTTTTTTCAATGTGAAATTTTTCAGTTTTTGGGTATTTCAATTTTACAATTTTTCAACTTTTAGATTTTTTAATGTTTCCTTTCGATTTTTTATTTATTTTGTTTTAACAATTTTTCAATGTTTCGATTTTATAATTTTTTTCTTTTCAATTTTTGGATTTGCAATTTTCCAGTTTTTAATTTTTTTTCTTCAATTTTACGATGTGCAACTCTTCGAGTTTTAATATTCAAGTTTTCCAGTTTTTCGATTTTCCAAATTACGGGTGTTTCAATTTTTAGAAATTACAATTTTTCGATTTGCAATTTCATGAGTTTTCAGTTGTTAATTTTTCAATTTTTCATGTCTTTTTGCAATTTTTTGGTTATTAGTTTTTGGATTTTTCAACTTTTTTAGTTACTCCATTTTTTAATTTGTCGTTTCTTCAATTTTTGACTTACTCGTACAATGTTTCTGGTTTTCATTTTAAATAATTAATAATAATAAGGATTTTAAAAAATGGTCACTTTTCCAATTTTACGATTTTAAAATTTTTCCACTCTTCAGTTATTGGTATTCTAAAACTTTTTCATTTATTCGATTTTTCAATTTTTCGATTTTTAATTTTTCACTTTTTGATTTTCCAATTTTTCAATCCTTCAAATTTTCGAATTGCAATTTTTTTTTCTTCATTTTTTTTAACTTTCCGAGTTTTCAATGTTTCAGTTTTATAATTTTTTGTTTTTTAATTTCAATTTTCAATTTATCATTTCTTCAATATTTTTTAGTTTTTTAATTTTTCAAATTTTGGATGTCCCAGTACCTAGATTTTGCAATTTTTCATTTTTCAATTTTTCATTTTATCATTTCTTCAATTTTTCATGTCTTCAGTTTTTCGATTTGCGATTTTTCATTTCGATTTTTATTTCTTTTATTTTTTCAATTTTTAGAGTTTTCAATGTTCTGATTTTAGAATTTTTCCTTTTTCAATGTTTAATTTGTCACTTTTTGGCAATTTTTCGATTTCTAGATTTTTAAATTTTTCGTTTCTTCAAGTTTCGATTTGCGATTTTTCTAGTTTACATTTTAAATATGTAACAATAACTTTGCCTTTTTGAATTTTACGATTTTAGAATGTTTCCATTTTTCATTTAGTGGATTTTAAAACTTTTCATTTATTTGATTTTTCAGTTTTTCAATTTTCCAAATTTAGGATGTTTCAGATTTTAGATTCTGCAATTTATTTTGCAATTTTCCGATTTGCAATTTCACGATTTTTCAGTCTTCCATCCAATTTTTCGTTTTGGTTTTTTATTTATTTTCCTTATGTTTTCAATTTTTCGGGTGTTCATGTTCTGATTTTATAACTTTTTGGATTTTTCAATGTTTCGATTCACAGTTTTTCGGTTTTCAATTTTTCGCTTTTTCAACTTTTGGATTTTTCAATTTTTCGTTTCTTCACTTTTTCAACTTTTCTAGTTTTCATGTTTAATATATATATATTGTAAACACAATAATTTTAAAATTTTTTTAGTTTTTCAATTTTACGATTTTATAACTTTTCCAATTTCAGTTAAGAGGGTTTCAAAAGTTTTTCATTAATTCGATTTTTCAATTTTACGATTTTTATTTTTCAATTTTTGATTTTCCAATTTTGAATTTTCCACTTTTTCATTTTTTCAAATATTCGATGTGCAATTTTTCGTTTTGGTCTTTTATTTTCTTCATTTTTTACAATTTTTCGGTTTTTCAATGTTCCGATTTTATAATTTTTTGTTTTTTGAATTTCAATATTTTTAAAATTTTTCGTTTCTTCAATTTTTCAATTTATCTGTCCTTCAGTTTTTCATGTCTTCAGTTATCGATTTGCAATTTTTCTTTTCGATTTTTATTTTCTTTATTTTTTCGATTTTTCGACTTCCATATTTTTTAATTTTTCTTTTTTCAATTTTACATTTTTTAGTTTCCTATTTTTCGTTTCTTCAAGTTTTGATTTTTCTAAATTTCATTTTAAATATGTAATAGCAATAGCTTTTTTTTTAGTGGATTTTAAAACTTTTTCATTAATTTGGTTTTTAATTTTTCAATTCTTCATTTTTTCATTTCTTCAAATTTTCGATTTGGAAGTTTTCGTTTCGGTTATTTATTTTCTTTGTTTTTAGAATTTTTCGATTTTAATGTTTCAATGTTTAATTTATTTTCCGTTTTTCAATTTTCCTTTTCTGCAATTTTCCATTCCGGTTTTTTATTTTCTTTATTTTATCAATTTTTCAGGTTTTCAATGTTTTGGTTTTATGATTTTTTCAATTTTTCATTGTTTCGCTGTTTCAACTTTTGACTTTTTGAATTTTTCGTTTTTTTAATTTTAGGTTTTCAGTTTCTAAATTTTTCAATTCATCATTTTTAATTTTTCAGATTTACGATTTTATAACTTTTCCATATTCAGGTATCGGGATTTCAGAAGTTTTTCATTAATTCGATTTTTCAAACTTTCGATTTCTAATTTTTCAATTTTTGATTTTCCACTTTTTCGTTTCTTCAAATATTCGATTTGCAATTTTTCGTTTTGGTTTTTTATTTTCTAAATTTTTTACAATTTTTCGAGTTTTCAATGTTCCGATTTTATAACTTTTTGTGTTTTCAATTTCAATATTTTAAAAATTTTTCGTTGCTTCAATTTTTCGAAATGCAATTTTTTAGTTTTAAGTATTAATTTTCCAAGTTTTGGATGTCTTAATTTCTAGGTTTTACCATTTTTCCTTCAGTTTTTCGATTTGCAATTTTTTTCGATTTTTATTTTCTTTATTTTTTCGATTTTTCGCGTTTTCGGTGTTCTCATTTTATAATTTTACTTTTTTTTAATTTTAGATTTTGATTTGCAATTTTTCTAGATTTCATTTTAAATGTGTAATAAAAATAACTTTTTGAATTTTTCTCTTTTTCAGTTTTACTATTTTAGAATTTTTCCATTTTTCAGTTAGTGGATTTTAAAACTTTTTCATTTATTTGGGTTTCAATTTTTCAATTATTCGTTTCGGTTATTTATTTTCTTTGTTTTTAGAATTTTTCGATTTTAATGTTTAAATGTTTTATTTGTTTTCCTTTTTGATTTTTTTTTTACATTTCCTTTTCTTCGATTTACAATTTTTCAATATTTGCTACTCTTGGAGTTTTCATTTTTTATAATTTGACTTAGAAGAAAAAAAATCTTTTTAATTTACATACTCTTCACAACAAAAGACTGAAACATATTTAAAATGGTAAATTTTATCTCCAACACTTCTCTACAAATTTACGTGCATATAAGAAAAAAAAAGACAAAATTCAAAACCCCGCCCACCCGCCCTCTTCTCAATTGTGATGAATTTTCTTATTCGTCGTGAACCGAAGGGCGGATCTTAATTGCAAAATGCTTATTTCCCTACAAGAAACTGCCATGTGGAACATCTTTTTAAGTATGATGTTGTTAAAAGAAAAGTATATATGTTAAGAAATTGTTGCAGTACTTGCTATAACAATTATTTCTTATTTCAGGAGAAAAAATGAGAAACGGGTGGGTAGGCGTGGCTAAGTATAACTTTCGGTTTTCAATTTTTCGATTTTCTTGGATTTTTTAATTTCTCGTTTTTTCAATTTAAATTTTCAGTTTTTTGAATTTTTTCATTTTTCAATTACTGAGTTTTAAAACTTTTTTATTTATTCGATTTTTCAATTTTTCATTTTAATTTTGACGATTTTATAATTTTTCGATTTTGTAATTTTTTGGTTTTCCAATTTTTCGATTTCGCAGTTTTTCTTTTTTTTATAGATTTGTTAATATTTCTAGTCCGTGGTAGATTAATAATGTACGTACTATTTTACTATTACTACAAATTCAATGTAATATTTTTAATGTACATATATTTTGCTTTGGTAGTATTGAAATTACATAGCCAATGAGGCATAATTTCAGCGAAGCGGGATTTTTGAAATCCATTGCCTACTACACCCTTACCATCATTTATAAAAACCCTGTATTATAATTAATTAAAAAATATTATTACTATTATTATTGTCACTATTATTTTAACACCATTTGCATGATATCTATAATACTTCTTTTTAGAACTATCAGAGATATACATTATGATAAATTATAAACGTGTGTCACTTGTCTTTTACTAACACGCTCTGTTAGAACAAGACAGAAAAGACACGTTTACAGAT